AGTTTGCTCTGGATTGTGGTAGCATGTATTTAATCACTAAAATCTCCTGGTATGGCCCACAGAGAAACTTACGGTCTTCGAATAAAAACATCTTGAAGGTCCCAGGCCCCAGAGAAGTTAGGCTGGCCTCAACTAGAGCCAGGGCTTTTTCGGCTGTGGCTCCGATCTGGTGGAACACTCTGTCACAAGAGACCAGGGCCCTGCGGGACTTGACATCTTTCCGCAGGGCCTGCAAGACAGAGCTGTTCCACCAGGCCTTTGGCCAGGGCACAGCCTGACTCCCTCCCTCGGCAATCTTCGCGGAGCTCTGGCCCAATGGTTGCCAGTGGCTTGAATTAATGAATTTTATAACGAATGATTTTAGACTGTTGTTTATGCTATACTTTTGTACTGTTTTATTGTTGTTAGCCGCCCTGAGCCCGGCTTCGGCTGGGGAGGGCGGGATATAAATAAAATTTATTATTATTATTATTAAAGCCAGTGACTTGCCTAACAGAAATTTAAAATGGCTATAGCAAAGCATTTCATTCTGGCCGATCCTGGTCCGACTGCACTGGCTACCAATTAGTTTCCGGGCCCAATTCAAAGTGCTGGTTTTGACCTATAAAGCCTTAAATGGCTCAGGACCGCAATACCTCAAGGATCGCCTCTTTCCATATGAACCTACCCAGACCCTGAGATCATCTTCTGAGGCCCTCCTTCGTGTGCCCCTTCCTCGAAAGGTCCGGAGGGTGGCAACACGAGAACGGGGACTTCTCTGCAGTGGCTCTCCATCTGTGGAATGCTCTCCCCAGGGTTCCTTTTTAACCAGGGCTTTGGTTGACCTGATCAACATCCCATACCCTTTTAAAATGTGGCTCTTTTGGGGGGGGTATTATTGGATCATTGCTTTTATTTTGATTTTATGTATCATGATTTTTTGGTGAACCACCCTGAGACCTCCGGGTATCGGGCGGTATATAAATCCAGGAAATAAATAAATAATAAAATTTCAGCTTCTGCCTTCCATCAATTGCTCTGATAAAAAATGATGCTTTTCCCAGGTGGCACTTATACCGCTTGGAGGCTGGAATGCTCAGAAGACCTGAAGCTGAGCAATGCTGGCATTACCCTGCAGGTTGAGGATAGTTGAGTATTAATGAGTATTAATGTGTCCAGTGTGTACATACATTTTGTTGTTGTTTAGTCGTGTCTGACTCTTCATGACCCCATGGACCACAGCACTCCAGGCACTCCTGTCTTCCACTGCCTCCTGCAGTTTGGTCAAACACATGCTAGTAGCTTCGAGAACATTGTCCAAACACCTCGTCCTCTGTCATCCCCTTCTCCTTGTGCCCTCCATCTTTCCCAGCATCAGGGTCTTTTCCAGGGAGTCTTCTCTTCTCATGAGGTGGCCAAAGTATTGGAGTCTCAGCTTCAGGATCTGTCCTTCCAGTGAGCACTCAGGGCTGATTTCCTTAAGAATGTACATACATATACAGTGGTACCTCAGGTTACAGATGCTTCAAGTTACAGACGCTTCAGGTTACAGACTCTGCTAAGCCAGGAATAGTACCTCGGGTTAAGAACTTTGCCCCAGGATGAGAACAGAAATCGTGCACCGGCGGGAGCAGGAGGCCCCATTAGCTAAAGTGGTACCTCAGGTTAAGAACAGTTTCAGGTTAAGAACGGACCTCCAGAACGATTTAAGTTCTTAACCTGAGGTACCACTGTATGGTAGCAAAAAAGGACAACCAAGATGGCCAAGGAGTTGAAGCAACTCCTGCTCAGGTTACATCTGAGCAGGGACCACCCATCCTGTTTCACGGCCTGAGGCAAAAAGCAAAGGTGCTGCCCTGGGCATGCACTGCATTCAGCCCCCCACTCCCAAGACTTGCTGGCAAGGACGTCGGCGAGGCCTCCAGAGGCCTCCATGTGATCTTGTGGGGCTCTCACAATATCCAGAAGCTGCCAAGCTGCTTCTCATTGTTTCTGTAGCAGCAGTGGATGACACATCTGGAGGTGCCCCTTGGGTTCTGCCGCCTGAGGCGGCTGCCTCAGTCTGCCTCATAGGGAAGCCGGCCCTGCATCTGAGGCTTTTTAACTTAAAGGGAAAGTGACTATTTGCAGGAGGGTGAAGAAATATGGTGAGAGAGACAAGCTTATGCATGGGGTAGAGAAAGGGGACAGGGGAAAGCTTTCCTCCCTCTCTCTCTCTCTCTCTCAGGGGTCATGCAATGAAGCCAATTGTTGGAAGATTTAGGACACGCAAAAGAAAGCCCCTAATAATAATAATTTATTATCTTATTCTAATTCTTGTATTTATATGCAACCCACTTTGGGCTCTGAGCTCTGTGTTTTCCTTATAACACTGGGATTCTTCAGTACAATTGTCAATCATCACTCTTCAACAGAAAGCGCCCTAGCTGCTGCAAAAACCACAAGGAGGAAATAGGAAATACTCTATTAGATTTACAAGCCTATAATCCACTTTCAAGTAAGATCATCCCTGCATATTGAATTAGGACAGAGGAGGAGGATGGCTGGAGTGATGTTGGTGATCTGGCCCTGTGAACTGAGAAGCCTGTTGTATTTTAAAGCAAGCAAGCAAGCAACAGTGACAAAAAGTATTTTCTCTCCGATGCATCTTTCATCCATGACATCAATGTAGCGAAGAAACGGTTCACTTTTTCTTTGCCATTTCTCGCTTGCCTTTTGTGGACACATCGGTGGGAGAACTTCCACAGCACCCCACGCTTTGTGGCCTCTGTGTGTGTGTGTTCAACTCTTTTCAAACCTTGAGGCTATTGAAACAGACAGTGGTAAGATTTCCCAATTCTACATCCAAGTGCATTTCCTGTCTTTGATGTGTGTGCTCAGTCATCGAACCAAGTTAGCTGAAATTATCCAGTCCTCTCACCCCCGACAAAGAAGAAACCCTGGGTGGTATTCAACTAAGTTTGACACAGAGTATACCCACTGAAATTAATGGGCATGGCTA